TCAGGCTGGTCTCGAACTCCTGAGCTCAAACAATCCGCCCGCCTTGGCCTCCCAGAGTGCTAGGATTACAGGCGTGAGCCACTGCGCCCGGCCGAAACCCAGTTTTCGATACGTATAATTCAGCACATTCTCCTCAAATCCGTACATTGTTTATGTAACTCCCAGCAAGATTCCCTTGGTTTTTGTCCAGATGGAAAGGTAGGTGGAGAGGAAGAGAACTTGACAAAAACTAATCTGGAAGAATCAATAAATTCAAACAGCCCCTAGCTCAATCTGAAAAATAAGGGTGAAAATGGAGGCTTTGTTCTGCCAGGCAGTGAACAACTTGAAAGTCACACAAACAGCGCACGAGCGCGTTGCGACTGTGAAGCATTTGAACACTAGAATTCTCCCCTCCGCACTATTTCCATGGTCATGTGTGCACACGCTTGCACATACAGCTTATACAGAATTATAGTTTGGGAGTTTTAATTACATAAGTAGGATCACACTATATCAGGACACAAAATATACCCAAAGATACGTCTTTTATCATTTTGAGAATTTGAGAGTGATTTTGTAGGTTAGACCATGAAATCGCTGGGCTCGCTGCACCCATGAGGACTGACATTTTAAATCGTGATTGGTCTGCCAGTTGCCCTAACGAGGCGTGTCAATTATACTCTTGCCCACAGAATATGAGCTTGTTTATCAAATATTCTCACCAATGCTGGATATTTTCGGTCTTTAACATTTTTTTTTCAAATCTGAAAGGTAAAAAAATGTTATCTCATTATTTTAATGTGTATTTCCCTGATTACTAGTGAGGTCAAGCACCTTGTCATGCTTTTATTGCTGGTTTGTATTTCTTCCTTGGAAAATTACCTATTCATGGCCTTGTGGACAAGTTATCAAAACACGCTGTAAATTAACTAAAGTAATTAAAGCAGTGTGATACGAGGATAGTGACATACAGACCAGTGAAGCAGATTAGAAAGTCTAGACACAGATCCAAGTGGATAAAATAATTTAAGGCTTGATAAGAATGTCATTTCAAATTCATGCAGACGTGTTCTTGTTGAGCAGCGGTGCTGGACAACTCGATCATTTGGGAGAAAATCACAGGCTTTCCTTCAGCATGTAGGTGAGGGTACTTTACAGAAAAAATGAAAATTTAAATGTAACCAAGAGAATCACATATGGAAAAAAATATAGGTAAATATTTATTAACTTTGAAATGAGGAAAGAGGACTTCTAAACAGAAACACAGAGGGAAAGCCAATAGGTTTAGCTTTACACAAATAACCTCTTATAGATTGGAAAACACTATAAAGAAAATTTAAGAGATGAATGTTAAATGTGGAGAGGATATTTGCAACATTTAATATATAAAGCACTTAATGTGATTAAATGGCCAAAAATCTTGAAAAAAATTCAACCTTACCAATAACTTAAAAGATGTGAATTAAAATGGTGAGATCTCATTTTTTATGTAAAACTGTAAAAGTAGAACAAAATGTTTATGCTCCAAAAAATAAGGGTTTAAGGGTGCGGAGACTTTTAAGTGCTGTTGTGGGGATGGAAATTATTAGAGCCTCATTCTAGTCAAAACACATGTATACTTTTGTCCAGAATTTCTGGCAGTTTACCCTAAGAAAAATATCAAGGGCATACATAAAGTTTAACTCAGAGTATGTTTACTATAGCATCTGAAAAATCAGCATCCCAAATAGCAGCAATAGTAAATGAGTAACATAGATGATAAGACACAGATGAAATAAAGTACCAGGTTGACAACTAGTGCTGTGAAATGGTATTTGTAAATATGGGAAGTAGTTCATGCCGTACTTCTAAGTAAAAACAGAGTGTGAGTTATTATAGTTCGTGTATTTACGATCAGGTTTTTGTAAAAAAGTATGTACTAGAAACAAAGTTACAAAGAATACATCAAAATAGTAGTAGTTCTATCTCTAGCAGGTTTGCCTACGGGTGTTGACTTACTCAGGTTTTTATGGTGAATACAGCACTTTTATAAAGAAGTAAAATGTGGTTAAAGTTTTAAAAAATAAAGCAGAATAGGACATACGAGGTCTGTCCGAAAGTATCCAGCCATCGTTGGTGTAACGAGACATCGATGTGACCTGGCAGCCAAGGACAGTGGGCTGGGACGCGCCTGCGTGGACAGTGACAACGTCGCTGTGCTGGTCAGTGGGGCGCTAGACTCCATTGCGGGAGCGTGTGTGCAGTGTGGCCGTTGTGTTCAAAATGACTGAGCAAGCAGAGCACGAATCTGCATCACATTTTGCGTTAAGCTTGAACGTTCCTCTGTGGAAACTATTCGCATGATTCAGGTTTTCGGGGACAAGGCAATGAGTGCAGCGCAAAATAAAAGTGTGGCACAAACGCTTCAAAGACAGTAGAGAGTCTGTTGAAAGTGATGCGTATTCCGTTAGGCAGAAATCTGAGCGTGTTGAGCGTGTACGGGTTAGGTTAAGAGACGCAGGGAGAACTGTGTGAGGTCCCGAGGTGCCTTCTTTGAAGGGGACTGAGGCGTCAGGGTCCTATGTACAATGTTTTTTATATCTTGTGTGTTCTTCAATACCTGTTTCTATTTTTCATACTACATGGCTGCATACTTTCCGGACAGACCTCGTATACTTTGCAATTCCACTAGCTATTAGTTCATGCAAGCATTCGTTAACCCATATTGGACTTTACCCAATGATTTTTATGATTTTGGGTAGGTTTCCTGGTGGTAACATTTATAAAGAAATCTGTATTTTCTATTGGGAGTTGACACTCAAGAGTGACCTACCCTTTGGTTTCTCTTTGCTCATAGCCTGTTGGCCCTGGAAAGTATGTATTTGATATTGGATGTGAACAGCACGGTGAATATCGCTTAACAGACATGGTAAGTTGCGGAGTACGTATCGTCTTCTACATTCATAGGCAAAGGAGCTGCTCAGTCATATTGATCCCACAGGGTTAGAGGTGATTTGCCTAAAAAGTTACGCCAACTCTCGGGAACGTTCACATTTGCGTTTTCCGTATTTGCATGTGTTAGTATAGAGCTAAATTGCCAAAAGGTCTTTCTGTAAACAGTATCATTTCACAGTTACTGCAGAAGTCTGGTCCTAGTTTTTGTCAATAGGAACCAACTAATCCTGAGTTGGAGAGTTCTAGACAGGGTTAAGTTGGAGAAATGACAACTGAAGTCTGTAACTGGTGTCACCATAATTTGTCCGATGATGACTGTTAGCATGTTGGGCGTGTGACTTGCACCTCTTAAAGCCTAGGTGGTAAATAATTTTCTTTTTTTCTTTCCAATATTTGACATTAATATTAATACTAAATCGATATTCCCTGGTTAATATTAGCCAGCTAATATTGCCGTTAGGCATCCAGATATGTATGTGTGTGTTGGGGATAGAGACATTTATGTTTATATTCTTGTCATTATTAATTTCTGACTGTTTGGCATTTTAGTAAAATTTCCTATTTTTTGCACTAGTTTTGAGCCTTTTGACTTATTTATTTACCCAAAATCATTCTCATTATAAGAAATTTTGAATTATAAGGAGGAGCCAAAGCCTGATAGAAAAGTGTCAAATTGTGCTTTTATTTTCTTTTCGGTCTCTGAAATTCCTTAGGTATCCTGTCCTAATGAGTTAAAAATATGTTATAAACAAACTCTCCTATATCTACATATTTTTTTTCTGAAGAAAGCCAGAGAACCCAACTGTTTGGGTCTGTCATCAGATCAGTGTTCTTTTAACCTGAGTGGAGCCATCTCTTTTTGGTTTATTTTTGTTGCTGTCTCTTCTCAGTCCCCTCGCGCGACTCCAGGGGACTGCCTTGATCCCACTCTTCTCATCACCTTGGGGCAGCTGTGAAGCTCAGGAAAGTCACCCTTGGTCACAAGAGGTAGAAGCATGCCCAGAGTCAGAAGTGGGCAGGAGGCAATGCTCATGAATATTCATGAGGGGCTTTGCCGCACCTGCTCCCTGCTGCGTTGTGCCGCCTGGAATCCTAAGGCTGACTCATCGCTGGTTTTTCTATTCCGTGCTCTCCAGACGTTTTCTAACCTTTCTCGTTCTTCTCCCTGGAGTCTCTCAGTTTCCAAAATTAAAAGGAGCCTTTGAATCTTTACCCTTAACACGCCACAGCCAGGCAACTCTGAGCAGCTCTGTTGTGCCTCCTGAGTGCCCAGGGCCCAGGTATCCCCCAGGGACTCGCACTCTGGGCCCGGCTGATTCCCTTTACTGTGACAGTCCACTTCCTGTATGTCACTGGCCACAGCCACTTAGTTCCCCCAAACAGCCTGTGGTTGCTCGTGGTCTGCAGAATAGACATCCACCTTCCTTGCTGTGACCAGAATCTTCCACGGTCTCACAGCAACCCATCCTCTTAGCCTTGTCCCTCCGGCTTTGCTCCAGCTAAAAGGATGCACTGGCTGGGGTCGGCTGCCCAGCTGACCAGAGCTAACCAGGAAATGAAATGGCCCACACGCTTGATTGTGATGCTAAACATGAGGCCCCACTACCCCTGAGTGTCGTTTCTTCAAGGAGCCCAGGATGGTCTAGTCCCAGTTCACGGTGTCTGTGTCTAACAAAAACATAGATAAATTTAACATATCATCCTACCATGTGGTGCTACAGCTAACTGCGTTTATGTTTGTGTGTGTAACCGCTTGCACACAGGGTCAGAAGTTTTAAAAAATTGGCATTATTGTTCAGTTGTGGCAGTGATGTATTTAGTGGTTTTACTGGGCTCTCTGTGGTGTTGGATACCTCTCAACTGTCCCCTGAAGAAACCTGTTGGCCAAATAGATTATAATGTCACCCCTGGTAATAAATCTAGCCTTTATAGGCTGATTAGTGATTGAACAGTTAGTTTCTGTAGGGATAAAAAATAAAGCCCATCTTATTAAGTGTTTTGCAGCTTTAGACTCTACTGACAAAAGTTACTGGAAGCCAGTGTTTCAGGATGATGAGAAGAAAGTAGAAAGAACATTAATAACATCTAAGGGAGAAAATATTGGCATAAGCCCCAAACACTGTTGCTATTCGGGAAAAACAATCCATGAAATAACCACACAACCTGAGGGCCTCTGACTGCTGTGCTTTGGGCGTTGACCAGGACTGCGACAGCGCAGAGGAGGCTGAACGGTGCCTCTCGGTGCGCAGACTACAGGTCCTCCGCGTGTATGTCGAGGGGTCTCAGTGTGGAACCTGCTGGAAACGCAAATTACTGGGCCCCACCCCAGACCTACTGAATCAGAAACTCTGGGCGTGGGGCCAGTAATCCGTATCGTGACAGGCCTTCTGGGAGGTTCTGGGGCAAGGCAGGTGTGGGCACCACCGCAGTCCTGCAGCATTGGCGTCATGAGTGACGAAGCTCAGAAACTTTGATACCAAATCGAGGAATTTACTGCTCAGTGACTCAGCGAGGTAGTGGCAGACGTCTGTCACTCTGTCGTAGGTATCATCACCCACGTGACAGTGGAGTTTTCCGCGTTCGTAGGGTTGGTGCTCAGGGCTTTGGGATGTTGTGACAGTTACCGAGGAGGAGACAGGTGCTGGGCAGAACTGAGAGGCGTTGGCTGCTGACCACCGCGGGAACCGAACGTTACAGAAAGCGCTCCACGTTCAGAAGTGAAGTCTTGCTCTGCTCCCATTGACCTTTATTTTTCTCCATAATTCTTCGCACCGGAGCTGTCATGTTTGTGCACTTCCACGTCACCGTGGGGACATCCGAGGAACTCCTGAGGCCTTTTCTTATACTGATGTTTCTTTTATTATTTACATAAAGAATAATATAAATAATTACATTATTTGTACAAATAGGTCTAAGATTACAGCTTAATATAATGTAATTATTTATATTAGAGCTGGAAGATGTGGCTGGGCAAGAGAAAAGGCCATGCAGCCTTGGCCATTCCTTACCTACCGCGGGCCGCTGGGCCGTGCCCGTCTGAAAGCCGTTGGCGGTGTCCATTAGAGAGATCGTGGCCCAGCGTCGTGCCGTGGACTTCATTTCTCGTCCTAGCTCTTTCAAGATCCACTTTCAGTCCTTAGATCATGCTCTGGACAGCCAGTTGGTCTTATCACTGAGTAGTGTCGTAAAAAGGGTCAAAGGCAGTCAAAACCTGTCTTTCCTTCCCTCATTTTTAATATTCCAGACCAAAGTGACAAAAATGTTGGTCCATTTACATTTTTGCATTTAAAATAGGAAAGAGGAGAAGAGGAAGAGGAGGAGGAGACATTAGTAAGTGTCATTCCAAAATGGAAAGCTACCAAAATCACGGAACTGGCCCTGTGGACGCCGACCCTCCATGAGGAGCCGCCCCCCGCAGACAGACCTGGCCAAGAGGAGGCCCCCAGAGCTGAAGGTGTGGGGGGCGCCTCTGGCTGTCGGGTCGGGGAAATCCCATTCTGGGAACCGGACTCGGAGTCAGTTTGGAGGGACATGCAGGGCCTCGCAGCCTCAGCTGATGCCGTGGGCGCTCTAGACCTAAACGTCCTCTGTGTCCTTCCCGTGGGACCCTTGTCCCTTCACCTTGCTCGGCGACCGGATGTGGGTGTGACCTCAGGGGAGGTGCTGACAGCAGCCGGGGAGACAAGTGCTTCCTTGGAGAAGGACCCGGCCGTGCTTCTCCACGTCCCTCCCAGGGTCTTGCTGGGAAGTCAGTGACGTGCCGTAGAAAGTTGAAGAAAGTTTTGCTGGCTGAGATTGCATCCGTTGCATATGGCTGAAAGCTGACGCAAACCAGCCTCAGTGAAACAGCACTCACGCTGCTAATGACTCACGGTTCCTGTAACAGGGAAGCTCCGGGTGGGACACGGAGACTCAGCCTCTGGTGTGGCTGGGCCAGGCCTCCCCTGGCCGGCATTCTCTTCCTGTTGGAGACTAAAGGTCACCAACCTCACCAGATTGTCATCCAGTTAGCTCAAGAGTTCAGGGGCAGGCAGGGGACAGAAGATTTCTCTTCCTCAATGTTCCCATGAAACCCTTAGGAGTTAGTTATCAGACCGGGCACGCCCATCCCTGAGCCACTCCCTGCAGGGACCTGGCCGCTCAGCTGGCCAGGCCTGGGCTGGGCGGGGTGGACTCAGCATGGGGAAGGCAGGGTGCTGTTACTGGGGGGCGTGCACGGGCACGGGCCTGCAGTCCCCATGGCTCCCATGTCCTTTGCTCTGTCTCAGGTACAGGAGAACCCGGGGATGAAGCCCAGGCTCTGATGGAGGGCTCCGAGGGAGACATGGATATGAGGCCTGGGGACGAAGATGCAGACATGCTCCAGGACGAGAGCCGGGAGTACAGCCCAGACGAGTTCCGCTATGACACGGACCAGGGTGAGGCTCCTGCCCTGCACGGGAGGGCGAGGGATGAGCAGCGGGACTTGGGGAAGGTCTCAGGAGCCCCACTGTGAGCTCCTGTGGAGGCCCTGGTGGAACATGGTCCCCTCCTGGGCACCCCTGAAAGCCCGACCACGATGGGAGCAGCCGGGCACGGGTTTCTCACGCTCGCTGTCACAGGAGGGCTAGCCTCGGGCTGCCAGAAACACAGAACACGGCTTTATCGTATTACGTGGCTCTGCCGTGCCTGAGGCACAGCAGCATGGTTAAGGGCTAACAGTGTTGGGAACTTGTGCTTTTTAAGTGGGTTTGGATGTAAGATTAATCTAGAAGCTTCCACCTCTGCCAGGTCACAGGGCAGTGATTCAATCTCAAGTCTGACTGAGGCTTCAGGTTCCCGGAATCTTTGACAATCTTTCCCCAAGAGCTTGTTGGCACTGCCAGAAAGCTCAGAGAGGATTCTCTTCTCTTGACTCTGTTTCTCTATCTGATTTAAAGCGGTGTCTTGGGCCAGAGGGAGAGGGCGGGCTGGGAGCAGCCTGGGCGTGGGAGACCACCTGCTCCTGCCTGGCTCCAGCCTGCAGTCGCTGGGTCTGGGGCCCCATTCACCTTAGTTTGTCTTTGTTGTAACTTGAGAGCGAAAACATTTCCCAGTCCTTTAGAATTAATATCTGAAATAATTAAATCACGTAAAACACTTTTCTATGTAAATGCCTCAAATACACGTAGTGAGACTCGTTAGCAATGATCACCCTAAATGCCGAAAGGCTGCACTCGGAAGTGTTGTTTGGCTGCGCGGTGCCGTGGTTGAGCGTGGGGCCAGGTGGAACCCTGGCTCGACGAGCTGGCCGCTGTGTGACCGCGCATCCTCTGTGCTGCTCTCATTTGCGCGAGGTGGACGACAGCGATCCCTCGCAGGTGGGACGCCCACAGGATGCTGCAAGGACGGAGGCTAACGTGCACACGGCACTCAGCGATGCTCCGTGGCTGGGTCCTCAGCAGCTGTGCAGCACCGCCGGGTGTAGACACGGGGCGTGGCCAGCAGGTGTGGAATTGAGGGCGGGGCTCTATCCTCCAGAGCCGGCCAGGAAGCTGGAACAGAGGAATCAGCGGTTTCACTGTAGAGTGACAGGGACACGCTACGACGTAGCCAGGAGAGGTGGTGACACTCCAGGGGAGTCGAGAAGGCTGAGAGGTGACAGGAGTGGGTGACACCAGGAGGGAGATGGCAGGCAGAGAGCAGAGTCTGATGAGGGGAGAGGGTGGGTGGGGTCAGCGCCTTCCCCACGCGCTCTCTCTTGGCAGCACGTGGCAGCGTTTGCGTTTGACCCTGAGTGCAGTGGCGTGTGCGGGGGTGCGGAGGGGCCGCTAGGGGGTCTGTGCCAGGCTTCCCTTGAGCTCCTCTGAGGCCAGCAGAGGATGGTGCCCCAGTCCGGGCCAGGCCGGAGGCAGGGGCCATTCAGGAGGTGAGCTTACCCACCAGAGACTGCAGTGGGAGGAGAAGGGAGGGACAGGTGTGAGGACGGGAGAATCCCTAGCACCCTGCAAGGAGAGGCTGGGCCGAGCTGGTGATGTCCAGTACCAGCCGGCACCTGAGACTGCAGATGCATGAGACAGCCGTGGGCAGAGAGCATCGCCTTAACTCAGCGCTTTTGGCCCCCAGGGCACTTTTGGCAGTGTCTGGGGACTTGGCGAGGCCGGTGAGGGAGGTGCTGCCGTCGTCTTCCTGGGTAGAGGCCAGGGATGCTGCTAAACATCCTACAGCGCACAGGACGGCCCCCCAACAAAGTATTGTCCAGTCCAAAGTGTCAGCAGTGCCTTAAGTGAAAAACGAACTGAATTAAAAAAAATGGGCTTAGTAGGTAAAGTGTTTTATCAAAATAATGAAAATTTAAGATTTATCATGAATCTCAGATTACATCAGAGATTCACCTTATTAATTTCTTTAACGGTGCCAACAGTGAGAATTACAGAGTTTACTTAACAATAAAAAATATTTCTAAATTTTATGAAACACTTAAACATAGCATCTTGTAAGAATGTGGTAAATTTCTGTTACAGAATAGCACGAAGCAAATCTGAAATATGTCCATCGGAAAAATATACAACAAAAAATAAAAAAAGAGATATATTCATGTTTCCTTTCTTTCCTCAGGAAATGTGAATTTTGAGGAAGAAGAAACTAGACAGTCGGAGGCGCCAGAGTGAGCTGCGTTGAAGAGCAGGAGCCGCACTGCAGACGCTTCCGCCAGCCGGGCAGCTCGCAGTCTGCATGGCGCGGTCGCCCGCCTTCTCCCCTGGCAGTTTCGGCTGGTTTACGGCTGCAAATAAATCCCTTCAGTCCTTTACACTGGAAGTCTCCGGGCTGTTCTCCGTGGTGTTTGGCAGTGTTCTCTCCCGGGATGAAGACCGCTGTACCTGCAGAGGGTGGCTGATGGGCGTCGGCTTCTGGCTGAGCTTGGAGAGTATTTGTAGACCAAAGCTTCGTTCTCAAAATTTCCCTCAAGAGAGCTAGGAAAGGCCTAGAAAATAAGGATTACTGTGCAAAACTCTCACAAAACACAACGTGATAAATATTAATACCCTGTAGGCTCCGGTGGGAAACCGCCAGCTGCCCCTGTGGGGAGTGTTCCCCTTGCCCCCTTCCCTCCCTGATGGGGGTCCCTGCAGATGGCTGAGGAGGGGCCGTCCACAGGTGGCGCTTTGGCCTGCTGTCTACACTCGGGGCTCCTTGGTGTGCTGGAGGCTGACACCAGAGCACGTTCTCAGTGCTCGTGCACGGTCTCTCCTTTCTCTCCCCAGCGCCAGGCTGGCCGGCGGTTCCCGGGCAGGTAAAGCCACGACCTCCCAGGGGAGCCCTGACCTGCCATCTTGCACAGCTCTGCTTCCCCATCCGCCCCTGCCCTGAGTTACTTGGAGGGCAAGCGTCTTCAGTTCACCCCACAACGTCCTTCGGAGCTCGTCTGCCCAATGCAAGGTCACACGCTGCATCTGGGGGTTATGTCCCTACACGCGGGGCCTCCTTAAGAACAGTACATTACGAAAACAATATCCAGGCCTCTTTAAGAAAAAGCACATAGGCCGGGCCCAGCTACTCCACAGGCTGTGGCGGGAGGATCCCTTGAGCCCAAGAGCTCGAGTTCAGCCTGGGTAATATAGCGAGACCCCATCTCTAATAAAAAATTAAATTTAAAAAATTATGAAAATAAAAAGCACGTAGCATTATCAATATAAAATTATGTTAAAACAATACTTATTTACAATAAGAAAATTTCAATAAAATTACAAATGAAAAGTTAACAAACAGCACAAAATTTAGAAAACTATCACAATATTGTCATTAATTCACTGCCTACTACAACTCTCTAATACTTCTTTTTCTGGGGGCCAGTGTTCTCTTTTTTTTTGAGACAGAGTCTCACTGTGTTGCCCGGGCTAGAGTGCCTTGGCATCATCCTAGCTCACAGCAACCTCAAACTCCTGGGCTCAAGCGATCCTTCTGCCTCAGCCTCCCGAGTAGCTGGGACTACAGGCATGCGCCACCATGCTCGGCTAATTTTTTCTATATATTTTTAGTTGTCTGATTAATTTCTTTCTATTTTTTAGTAGAGACGGGGTCTCGCTCTTGCTCAGGCTGGTTTTGAACTCCTGAGCTCAAACTATCCGCCCGCCTCGGCCTCCCAGAGTGCTAGGATTACAGGCGTGAGCCACTACGCCTGGCCGGGGCCAGTGTTTTCTTTGATTGCCTCTTCTTTTATATGGGAATATTTGTAACATAATTACACTGTTCCTTTGCAATGGTTTATTAGCTATCGACAGTTGAGGGGCATAAAACATTTATTTTCACGTGCAGACATACCGCTGTCTACAAAGCTACTACAGGAGCATGCATTTCAAATAGGTGCTCTGACAAATCCAATTGCATGGGATTCCCATTAAAAATTATATGTGCCGTATCCTCGTATCCCTGGCAGGAGAGATGCTGGTTTGTTGGGGCATCAGTGAGAATCCTCTCTTACAATTTTACACATCTGATGATTGAGATAATCTTCCATGGGCTACCAGCCACCCCATGCACTTCAAACCTCATTTCTTCTCTCTCACACACAATGGTGCTGGATCTGCAGGAAAATTCCTATCGGGATTTGACCTTGGACCCTGCACCTATATGTCATCATGCTAGGGGTATTTCTGAAAGTGAGTCCTACCTCAGAACAGCCAGCAATAACCAAACTATACATGAAAGTTAACTGCAAACCAGTAACCTACACAAATATTCTACCAAACCCAAACCACTAAATCTACCCCTAATTCGATTTAATCAGCGCACCCTGAAATAGATTCTAAAAATGCCTGTGGCCACTTTAATGCAATTCAACAGGAGGGGACATGTGTCTCACGGAAATCAGACGGGAAAGTGGCGGAGGCGTGATTATGGTTAACACGCTTCATTTCTGCAAAACAGAACACAGGACTGAGTGCACACCTTGTCAGGGCCTTGCGAGGGGCCTGTGCAAGTGCAGGCTCTGAAGCTTGAGGCTGGGCAGCTTTGTGGAAGCCCCTTCACCCTCACTCTCCTTTTTTCCATGAGGTCCTCTTGCGTCATTGTCTGTGAGGAGCCTGGGCTGGCCGCGGCAGAGTGCCTCGCCTGCTGGATTCGTCTGCGCCCCTGTGGCTTGTCTCAGTTCCCGCGTAGTTCTTGTTGCCAAAGAAGTTACAGCTAACGGTTTGTGGGATTCATGGTAGTGTTCTCAGCTGGAATCCACATTTGCGGTGTCATATACTCCCTGTTCCGTTACAGCAGGAGAAACAGTCTCTCTGGTTGGTCCACCGTTAGCGGTGACCCTGGCAGCCATTAGGGCCTGTTGTCTGCGGGGCCGTGGTTCATCCCGTTGCAGCTATGGCTTGAGAAATGGAGTCTTTCTAGCTCTACTGTTCCCTCTGCATTGATTAGGCTGGATTTATTTGATTCCCATGAAATACGGTTCCTCCTAGAGAGACAGAATAAAGGCTTAATTACCAATTTAATACAGGAGGTGTTAGTTTCACAGATGCTTCAAACGGCGACAAATGAGTTTGTGCTGGACTCTTTTTCTAAGAGGAGGTGTCAGGCCTTGGGGATCTTCTCTGAGTCAGTGTGTTTCAACCCGCTGCAGTCACTGTTCTTGATCCTGCTCAGGCTGACACGTCTTTGGCCAGCGGTGGCTTCTTCGTGCTAGCGTCTTGTCCTTTGGACACCACACCACTGGTCCTCGAACACTTCGTTACATTTCTTTCAGTGTTTTTGATGCCTTGTAATTTATTTTTGTGTCGTTTCAAACTTACAGGAAAGTCGATAGAATAGTAAAAGAGACTCCGATACACTCCTCCAGGCTCAGCCACTGTTTGCATCTCACCTCACTTGCTGTGTCACCCTCTCTTAGAGGGAGGGAGGGAGAGAAGGGGGAGGGGAAAAAGGGGGAGGGGGAGGGAGAGAAGGAGGAAAAGGGATGGGTATGGCTGTAGAAAGCTATGTTAAATGCATTCATGAGCTGTGTTATTCTGCTAAAATGTTGCAGAATGACAGACTTCTCAATCATATGCCCTGTAGCTTTCTCTATGAAATAGAAAATTTTCACCTTGGTGAGAAGCTATAATCAATATACTTGGTTGAGACTCTGCTAGGAGTGACAATGGCAGAGAATGCAGGTGGGAATGTGCCTTTGTCTTGTAAGGAAAAGGAGAGTAGTTGTGCCCTAATATAAGAGGCAGTTTGTTCTAGAATATGAAAGAACTAGTAAAAGACAAGACCTAGAAAATGAATCTAAAAAGGAGGAAAATAAGTTAAAAATTTTAGCTGTTTGTTCATTTTTGATGGCTTTATTTTCTTGGTTTACTGATTAATGCCTTTGTTTACAAGATGAAAAATTATTCTTTACCATCTGTAAAATCTGTTTAGAGAGCAAAGAACCTGTGCCTACCAGAACAATATTTTTGT